GTGTGTGTGTGTGTATGGTTGAAGCACTGATTCTGTCTGTAGTGATTCTATTCTTAGGGTGTCTGATTCTGTCTGTAGTGATTCTATTCTATCAGACAGTTTGAGCCCAAGGCAAAAATCTGCAGTGGAGAGAGATGATGGTGGTGATGTGTGTGTGTGTGTGTGTGTGCAATAATTTACCCCATCTTGCCATTCAACCGTCAGTGTAAAGAGTAAAAAAAAAACAAAAGGTGGTTTCCAACACACAATACCCCCCATGGCCACTAGGTGGCGACTGAAACGACATAAAGCATGCATTTTTGCATGCAATTAAAAACGTGAACCAAAGCGGTTCTCAAACCATGGTGTGCCAACCACTGGTGGTCCTTGGGCTCCCTCTAGGGGTACTGTATGCGAGGGAATCTTAGTGTGCGTGTTTTATTGGCGATTAATCCTGACATGTTGTACATACTTGGTAGTACTTGGTAGTACTTGGTAGTACTTGGAGAGCCGAGAGAAGTACTGACCAAACCTTAGTTAACGACAGACCTTAGACTCTCATCTTACCAGACAGTGACCTGTGAACTGGTCACAATGTGTAGCGTGTCCATGACAGTCACAGGCTTCACAGACACCACCATAGAGAAGTCCGTTAACCCTTCGGAAACCAGGAACACACGTCTGAAACACACACACACACACACATACATCCACGTCGTTAGGAGGACAGCAAGGAAGTGAATATAAATATACATATATACACACTTTTATAAATATATATATAAGATAAAAAAACACACTGACTCCAGAAAGGTATAAAAACTCAAATATAATATAATAAAAATAGCTAAAGTGAGGACTGACTTCTCTTATTATTTTGTATTTTTTCCTACTTGTTATAGATTCAGTTTTCACATTTAAAGACTGTTTCTGTTTTCCTCTTAAAATTGAGTACAATGTGTGCTGAAGGTTAGAGTTTTGTTGTGTGTGTGTGTGTGTGTGTGTGTGTGTGTGCTGTTACCTCACAGGACGTTCCAGCATATCCAGGAGGACAAGAACAAACTTCTATAGCTGATGCTCTCCCCTCTCCCTGTGCAGTCGGAGTTCCCACCTGCATTGTAAATAGGTGCAGTCTACACACACACACACACACACACACAAAAAAAACTTTATTATTATTTTTTTACCAAACAAATGGTTTTCACCCTGAAAATAGCAGCCTCACCTTTAGGGGGCAGAAAGTGAAAGGTTAAGGATGAAGATTAAAAGTCTAGGGATTATAACTTTTAACTCTTAACATTGAAAATGTGTTTTTTTTTTCTTCTGCACTCGAAGCTGCTTTGATTAGTTTTACTGCAGATTGAGGATTATGTTAATTGGAGGCTCTGCATTGACCACAGCAGTGAAATTGGCTCCAGCGTTTCCTCAGCGACCGTTAACAGGATCAGCGTCAGAAGATGGATGGTGTTTTAATATCATAAGAATTTTCTTAATGCGTAAACACTTTTGGCTTCGCCTTAGAGCACGTGGGTTGATTATCTGCAAAGGTCAGGCTTCTGTAGTGTCGATCAATAGGTGTGCTGGGAATTCACTCGGGGTCAGAGGTCAACGACAGAACTTCACCAAAGAAGGTGGACGACTACAGCGGTTGGCTACACCCTTGGTGTGTACTGACTTTTTTGTTTTTTTAAATAAAACTCGTCGTTCATTAGTTTTGTGTGACATGTGATCCACGAGCTGTGAAAGCCTACCTGTAGATGGCAGTTTTTTTAAATAAAACTCATCGTTCATTAGTTTTGTGTGACATGTTATCCACGACTTAGTAGTAGCTGTGAAAGCCTACCTGTAGATGGCACTGTGTTCTGTGCTGTAGGAGGCTCGCACCATCAAACTGGTCACGTTAGCCAGGACCGACAAGAACTCCCGGCGACTAACGGCTCTCCCCGTGCCTGAAACCACGAAGTTCTGCGGCAGGAGAACGATGCGATGGGTGCTGGGTGAGGGCGGGTAGACGGGCTCTCTGAACCTCCAGTCCACCAGCTTCATCCCGCCACCCTGGGAGGAGGGGAGAGGAGGGGAGAGGAGGGGAGAGGAGGGGAGGAGGCAGAGTGAATGATGGGTCATTAGATAATGAGCTGCAGTTTGTATTGACATGCTGAATGAAGCCAGGACCACTGTGGTCTCTGACTGTCTGTGGCGGAGGACGGATCGATGGCATGTAGAGGATAACACAGAGTGACAACTACTGATGAAGACGGAAGGAGACGAGAGGGAGGAGGAGACGAGGGGAGGAGAGAAGAAGCAGATGATTGAGACGTGCTATTTGAAATAATAATAATAAAAAACAACAACAACTAGATGATTTAAACAAATAAAACGTTCATGTATTGAGAACAGAGGTTTCCACCGGTGGTCGGTTAATTATCCCTCACTTCTCATGACATCGTTAGAGAAAGTGTTCCTATGGAAGCAGCTGCTCACTGCAGGTGTCAGTGTATGATTTAATGCTCAGTCGATACCACACACAAACAGAGCCATTTATTCCCAACGGAATTGATTTTAAAACAAACAGAACAAACACGGTCCAATAAGTCTGAACTGAGAGTCGGGAACTCCTTCAAGAATACAGAATAAAATATAAAATAAAAATCACTCTCTCCTTCCACAGTTGTTCCTCCCATTCTTTCCTTATTTCCTACTTACTTCTCTCCGACGCTTCAGTCCTTTTATTTTTATTGTTCACTAAAATATTCTAATTCACACCACTGATTTCCTTCAGATGTTTTTTTTCCTCTTATCTTCAGAAACATTTATTCTTCTGTTTTCACTTTACTCCTGCCACTGTGTTTACAGTCACATTAGTATTTGTGCTCATGAATGAAGAAACACTCTTTACCTCGTTCGTGCTGTCGAGCCGCTCTCTCTGAGAATGAATTAAGATCCAGATTCTAAAAGTCAGCACCAACCCAGTTTTATTTATTTATTTATTTTAATTCCAGCTTCTTAGTCGATGAGGAAATTAATTTGTTGGTGTAAAAACCAGCAGGATGGTCTGAACACACACACACACCACACACTCCCGCCCTTGTTTACAGATATAGGCGATATAAAGAGTTAACTAATAGCGTTGTAGCTCTGCTTATTGCTGCCATACATCATATCACAACCTGCTCATTATAAGGACGGCCTCGGAGCACGGAGAGGATGGAGACGCCATCTGCATTTTTTAGTGCTGGCTTCAGCATTTCTCCGCCAGCTGTAGAGGCTTCAGTGTGTGTGTGTGTGTGTGAATGTGATTTTAACAGCCTTTATTTGCAACTTCATTAAGTGGTTTTTCACTGGAGCAGGAGTCAGGGGCATTTTTGGAAAAATAAATAAAGCTGCAGGAGAAGAAAAAAAAAAACCCACACATTATTTGTGTGGATTTTCAATGGTTTGGACTGAATAATGTGTTGTGGTCAGGAATCAGTGACAGTCATTCTCAAGGCTATTACACTACAGTGGAGCCTGTACTGTACTGTACTGTACTGCACTGGTCCAACCATTCACCATGTTTTTAAAAAACCCATTCAAGTATATAAGAACGGTTGAAAACTCACCTCTATGATGAGGTCAGCCTCGGAGGTCACTCTCACCCCCGTCTGTTCTCTCTGCTCTGTGGTGTAGGACACAGTGTAAACCACACTCCCCCCGTAGGCTGTGATCTAAGGAGACAAAGAGGAGGAAGAAAATAAAAAAATAGGAATCGTTTAATGAATTTATTGATTTCAACACAAGGAAATGTAATAAATCCCCAACAACACATTCACATTTTACTGTCAACACTCTAGTCATAAAACATGCATTTTCTCACTGTGAAGCAAATAAATCAAGGTGCACCACCCTTGGGGTTCACTCCTTACTTTGGGAACCAGAAGAAGGAACTTTCTCGTCATTTTTCATACTTGTACTGCAGCAGTGGGCTGCTCTTTACTCTCAGCCAAGGGAGTGCAGTTTCTCTGGTGTTTGCATAAACAAGAAACATGGATTTTGAACCAGCAACCCTTAAAAATCAGCTGAGTTGCCTTGTTTATGTTTCGGTGGAGTTCACAGAAAAAAAACCTAAAATGCAGTGTCGACACGATCATCATTGTAGTACTAATAATGTGTACTTTGGGCACAGAATTTAACTGGGACCCATTTTCACTTCGTATGTCTGAACCAATCAGACACCCAGAAATATGATACAGAGATTTGCAGTAATATTACACACAATTTTAGGGTGGAAAAACAACAACAACAACAACTCCAAAAGGTATTTATTTTTCTCCCAAACATCATCTTATGACTTCAAAGATTTCAGCTTTGGTCTCTGCAGAATATTTCTGGCTTCGTGTTTGGGAGAGGGGGAATATGTGGGGGGGGGGGGGGGGGGCGAAAAAAGCGGGCAAAGCTGTGTAAGAGCCTTAAATTTTCAACTTGTATAATGAGCTGATAAGCAGAAAAAAGGAGTGTTTGAAATGTCAGTGTTGTGTTCGGTGAGCACACACGCAGCGCCCAGAAGAAAAGTCTCTCCGTCTCTGGTCTTTAACAGCTTCTCACTCCGGCTGCTAGATGTTGATTTTGTTCCCTTCACAAAGCAAACCTGAATCCAGCCATTTTTCCTTCTTTGGAATTATTGACATTTCTCCAAAACTAATTTCTCCGACGCCAAAAGCACTCAACCCCGACTATAATCAATGCTCCTTTTTGTCATGGCAACCTGACGACCCGTCTCCACCCTGGAGAGGAGAGAATAAAAGAAAAGTAACAGAGGGAAGAGATGGCAGAAAAGCACAGCGGGAGGAGAGGATTATGGGAAAAAAAAGAAAAGGGGAAAGAAGAGGGAGGGAAAATAAAGAAACAAGCAAACGTAGACACACTGGGATACAATGGGATCTGGTCTGATCTCCACGGGAGCAGGAGGAGGCTGTTATTAACTCTATTAGTGGCCAGAAGGAGAAGACATAATCCTGGCTGTTAAGAACCTCATCAAGGACCAAAGTGTCTCCATTATTGTGCTGAATCTTCAAAGTGTGCATGGCTTCATAGTTTCACAGGAAAAATAATCACGTATGGGAATATCAACTGAAATGACGTCCTCAACTGCTGATGGTTGAGATTGGACTTTGAAGTACAACTGCAGTACAGCTGCGATCAAGTGCAGTTCAGATTTTTTTTTTTTTTTTTGACTTGGGCACAGAAGAAAACTGGAGAAAAAAAGAAATTCCTGATTAAAAAAATATGGCAGCGATTCTGAAAGACGGACTCAGGAATGACGAGGAATATGGGAAGTGGAAAAGGACAAAGACAAATGTCAGGATGTGAAGATGAGTCAGATTTACTCACTCAAACATGTAAAGAGAGATTTCACAGCTCCTTTAAATTTCAATGTAATTATACAGTATATTTTTAAAATATAAAGTTAATTCTTTTTTTTAATTTAAAGGAAACGCAAGAAAGACGACGACAGAACAGAGAAATAATTCTCCGTCCATATGCTGCTCTGACCAAATAAAACACACAGGTTGAACATGACTGAATAAAGCAATAACGAGACAAAACGAGGATGAACCTGGAGGCAGATGAGCAGAAAGAAGTAGCTGAAGGAAACTGGAGGAGTCAAGTTCTTATTCTTCATTTTCTAACCCATACTCAGTGCAGCGCGTTTGGAACGAAGCGAGAAAAAGGTGTGAAATGAGTCAGAGGAAACATTAGTCCTCCTCCAGTTTTCCCACTGGAGCTGTGATGTAAAATAAACTTCTCCACAGCATTAAAAAAACCAAACGAGTCTGTTCTCTATCGGGGAGTGCTGCTACATTAACAGGCACCGAAGAAGAAGAAGAAGAAGAAGAAGAAGAAGAAGAAGAAGAAGAAGAAGAAGAAGAAGAAGAATTGTTGATTTATAGCTGAGCTGAAAGTTAACTGTGCAGAGGCAAAACAATGTGACGAATCAAATTCATTTCTACCCTGAAATGTTTCAATCATTTTCTTGCCAAAAGTCTTTGCTAAAAAAGTCAAACCTGACGATAAAAACCATCATCTTACCGATGACAATCAATAAAAAATCCCTATGTTCAAAGGTGCAGACATTATGGACATTAACTAAGAAGAAACAAATCCCTGCCTGACAACACGTTGACATTCTGTCCACTGGGGGGCGTTTGTTGACTCTTTGTTGTCAATATTTCAGGTCAAAAAGACGAGAGCGAGGAAGAGAGTGAGCGGAGGAAATCATCCTTCAGGAAATGAAAACCAGGTTGTCACAAAGGCCTGTCAAAATAGACAATCACAAAGACAAGGACACACACACACACACACACACACACACACAGGGAGCGGTGCACAGACTTGTCCTCTCCTGATGCCTCCAGTTGTTTGCAGTAGTTATTGGGAGTTTTGATTCTGTGTTTACCCCGTGTTCGCTTATACACACGCACACACACACTGACAGACCATTGTTGTTTCCCGCAGTAGGGTTAGATTGGCTCCAGATGGACCAACAGTCAGTGGAATGCCTCACAGCTCACAGCCCTGTCGGCCCTCTGTGAGTGGGAGCCGAATCAGGTTTGAAAAGAAAGTCCTTGTTGAAGAAAAAATGAGAAGCAGGTAAAAAGTAAAAAAAAAATCCTGTCCATCAGTGGAGGCACCAGAGACGTGTCCACAACCTTGTCTCTCACTGTTTACTTCTATATTGTCAGGGTCTTCTGTGCGCTGCTGATGGTGGAAGGACAGAGAGGAGAGAAGGAAAAACCCACGGATGTCCACGGATGGTGAAATGTTTAGGGACAACCAAGAATTAATGAAACAGTTTGTAAGAACGAACAAACTTAAACTTTTTCTTCTCCTTGAAAGAGAGGATTGTTTGGCTGCGGGGAGTCTTTGTTCTCCCCCGCAGCTTCTTGGTGAGAATCAAGTTTTCACAGCTGTGGTGTGGAGATGCCTGGAAACCATATGTGAGTCTGTGCTTGTTATGTTTTTTTAGTTGTTTTTTTTTTTAGGACGCCACGTTTCTCTAACAATCAGGATCCTGGAGGTCCGTCTCTGTGGGCTGCAGCGTGTTTGGTCTGGACCCTGGGTGGGTGCTGGCAGACTGGACCAACAGCTCCACTGCAGGGGGTTCAGACTCTGAGGTTTTTGGGGTCAGAGGTGGTCATGTGACAGGAGGTAGAACTGCACGACTTGGATGAAGATGCTGAGCGGAAGTGAATTCTGAACTCAATACTGTCCCCTAGAGGATTTATTTATTTCCATCCATGTCAAACATAGGGTAAGCGGTCCAGAGTGTGGACAGTGATGTTTGAACGTTTGGGTCGTAACTATTCAAGTACATGAGAGAAAATAAAAGAGGCTTCAGCCGGTGTCTCCTCATCAGACACAGACGTTTACTGTCTTTGAATCATACAAACAACATCTGTCAAAATGTGTCCACTTTGTCCCCAGATTAAGTTAGTGTCTCCAGGTTAATCAACTCAGTTTAAAGAGCGTGGTTTGATCTTCAGGACATTTTCAAGCGACGGTCGCTCCACCGTGTGTGCTCGCGAGCATCAGTGCAACGTCTTTCCGGACCAATGAACATTCAGCAGAGTGGACTAACGAGCCAATGAGCATTTGGATACACAGGAGGTCATGCAGGAGACGTTGTCAAATGTCCACGATGGTCCTCTCTATGTCTCCACTCCTGTCTTTCCATTTCCCCCTTAACCTGCCACTTTCAGTGATACACACCACAGTGATAAGTCACAGTGTGTGTGCGTGTACGTGGGGGGGGGGGGGTGGGGGCGCGCCCGCAAAGCAGCCATGTCTGTAACACAATCAAGCAGCTAAAGCAAACGGTCGCTTTTTTTTCCCACACTGCCTTCAGTGATCACAAACCCAGCATGTGTGTACACACACACACACACACACAGACACACACGCAGTGGTAATTTATTTGTTTCTCATGTATGAAGGCATTTGGTTCTGCTCTGCTGTACCTAATGCCTCCAAAAGACATCATTATCTGACTTATATAGGCCCTGGATTCTGTGTGTGTGTGTGTGTGTTTCAATAAAGATTTCTGCCTACATTTGTGTGGGGGAGTGTGTTCGTGCGTGTGCTCTAAAAGAAAAACAGTTGATTATGGAGTTCAACAGGCGAAAAACGCTGTTTACGGTGAGACACAGGAGGAGGAGGGGGAGAGAGGGGGGAGAGAGGGGGGAGACGACTGAGGAACAGGGAGGAGAAAAATGGGTGTCCCGGAGAGATGGAGAGAGGCCTGGAGGAGGGATGAAAAAGAAACCTGGACCTGAGAGTTCAGACGAAGAAGAAGTGAGATGAGAGAGCGCGGCCTGCAGGGTTCAGTGTAACGACGCTGACTGTGATTCTTCCTCTGAGCTGTGACACTCAGACCAACGTCGGAGTCAGAGTCTGTTGCTGCAGGGCAACACGTTGACTTCAGAAAGTGGGATTGGAGCTGTTTGTCTACTGGTGGAAACACAGCTGCAAACAACCACCGCAGAGATTCAGCAGACAGTTGACATTAGCAGACGCTGATCCAGAGAAGAAAAAAAGGAGATCCAGGCTGGGAGGACGGATGGACTTCAAATAGATGATGATAATAATAATAATAATAGTTCCTTGTTCGCCTGGACCCAGTCCCATTAGCTCTTTAGTACAGGGTGCAGTTTTCCAGTCCAACTGCAGGTTGTTGGACTGATGTTGGACCACATGTAGCCGACCAGTTTAGTGCTGATGTCCAGCTAATTGTCAAATGAAATGTCAGACGTCAGCTCTCATGGGCTGAACCTGCCGTTCCCTGCTCACACCTTCTTCCTCATACGGCTCATAAGAACACTCAAACTGTCAGTTAATGTCAGTGAGCCACTCCCATCACCTCCACCGCTATAATGGAATCTACCCCCCTCCCCCCCCACCCCCCACTGTGACACAAAACTACTCAGGAAATTGTCAGTGGCCAAAGGTCCAATTACTTCTGAACCTTTCCGTCTTTAGACTTTAAAATGTTCCTGATGTACATTTTTTCAAATTAGAGCCCAGGCCTGGCACTTTATTTCATGACATTAAATTATATTCAATGTGTCGGAGAATAAAACTGCAGCTTTGAAGTGGAGTTCACATCCATCAGTCTTTTAGAGCAGAGTTTCAAAGAGGACGGAGGCCTCGGTGGGTGGAGGGGGGTGGTGGGAACATGTACAACTGCACGTCATGTATCATATAGTATATATATAAAATGTTATATATATTTTTTGTTTTTTAACATATTTGTGCCATGTGTCATACTCCAACCTTGTTTCCCAGGTAAAGTCCGGGTGCGTTCCAGTAGTAGGCGGAGCCAAGATCTCTGGCGACGTCTGCGTGTCGGACGCTCAGATATGGGGGCGTGTCTCTGTGCACGGACCACACCCTTCCTCCAGTTTCACCAACCAGGTGCCAGCCTGTCAGTGTGGTCTCCTGCAGAATTCAAGTTCAGGAAACATTTATTTTGACGTTACAACTGAACAAAACCAAGCAGTAAAAAAAAAACAAAAACACAAAATAAAGTTGGTCTCCACTTTGACACCGTGAAAATTATATTTACGTCCACAGAATTCCTTCTCACCTTTAATACCTGACGTATTTAACAATATATTTTAAATCTCCACCTGATAAAATAGACTAAAAAATCTCGTTGCGTTTAAGTTGTTTTTATAAATCTGTCACATGTCAGACAGGAAGTCCTGGAAACTGACACCTACAGAGGAGGAGTGTTCCAACTCCTGAAGGGGAGACAGGCTGTGTGTGTGTAGGTGTGTGTGTGTGTGTGTGACTGACAAACACACATCTGTCATAGCAATTAACCTGACCTTGGCTTCCCCTTTGGATCTCTCACACACACACACACACACACTCACATTCATACACACTCAGACAATCGGTGTCTAAATCAGAGCTGTCATCCCGTCAACATCTCCTCCCTCCCTCCTCCCCCACACCGCCTGTCAGTCAACGACTGCTTTCCTCCCCTCACCCGTCCTCTTGTCTCCACTCTTCACTCCCTCATATCCCAGCGTCTCCCCCTCAGCTCCACACCCTCCTCCACCAATCCTGTCGCTTGGTTTCTGCCTCCAGACCTCCATTATTACTCAGCGCTGCACACTGAGAGCCTGATGATGATTCTGTTTTGATTCATCTCCAGGTTCACCCTCTGATATACATTCATCAGTGTGAACAGACCTGAGGTCAGACTAATTAATCCTCCCCCTCTCACTCTCCCGCCTGCGGGATATTTACTGAGGAAAGAGACGTTTCTCCCGTCTGATCGCAGGATTCACCTTTCACTGCTCAATGAGGCAAATCCTAATGATTATGAAGAGTCATATCCTGATGGAGAATTCCCGTGAGAATGTCACACATTTATCCTCCGTCAGCTCTGAGGGTCAGAACAGAAATAGACGGAGTCTCTCTGTTAATTTGGCTGAAGGTCTCATCTGTCCCACAGCTGAGGACGGACGAAGGAAAACTCGCTTTTTTCTTATATTTTCCATCATAACTGAAGAACAGAAGGCAGTTCTTTATATATATTTATATATTTGTTGATGGATTCTATTCTATTTGACTCTATTCTACTCTACTTTATTACTTATATTTGTTCTAAACTGCTCTGTTCTACCCTTCTTTTTTCTACTCTTTTCTACGGCACTCTATTCTATTATTTTCTGTTCTACTATACTCAACTCTACTTTCGGAATTCTTCTCTATTTCACGTTATTCTATCATTTTCTATCATTTTCTACACCTACTACTTGACCTTAATCAATCCTATTCTACTCCAATGTATTCATTCAAGTCTGTTCTATTTTGTTCTATTCTATTATTCTCTGCTCTACTCCATGCTGTTCTATTCCACTGGACTCAATTGACAAAACTACAGATTTGTCAATGGCTGCAGTGTGTGTGAAGCGGTGCCTACGTTCTGATAGGCCCAGGTGGAGGCGGAGCACTGGGTGGACACGCCCATGCAGGAGCACTTCTCACAACCACGTGGGTTGTCACCTTGAAGATCGTAGAAGCCCAGTTTACAGCGGTCGCAGTTTTCTCCCTCTACGTTTTCCTACGGAGGAGGAGAGGGAGAGAGAGAGAGGGGGAGGGAGAGAGAGGGAGAGGGAGAGAGAGGGGTCAGGAAATGAAGGATGTAATAAAGTTTATGGGCTGCCCTGGTGCTGGTGTTGTGGGTACAAGTCCGTGTTACTGCCGTGTTAATGTGCTGAGAATAACTACAGCAGAGGTTATACTGGTCACCACTGGTCTGAATGAAAGTGTGTGTGTGTGTGTGTGTGTGTGTGTGTTTGCACCTTGCACATGCACGGCGATACACACGGGTCGTCGTTGCTGCTTCCTTCCACGCTGCAGTTACAGCGCTGACAGGTAGGGTAGCCCATGTAGCCCACTGCACACCTGAGGACAAATGATGAGACGAACGGCACGGTCATAACCAGAAGGTCAGGGGTTCAATTCCGCTCACTGTCGTCTCGACTACTCTGAGCTGGATCTTTAGCCTGTAGCAAATGGTCAACCTCACTGGGAGTGTGACGTAGTGTGTGTCGGTGTGTGTGTTTCGTGCACAGAGAAGTAACTTTCTAATTAACAGGGAAAGTGAAGCGAAGCAGCTCTATGTAGACTTTAGAGAAAAGCAGTTTTTTTTTTTTTTTCTTTCTACATAACAACGTTCTGGCGGCGCAGTATCTGAGGGCGAGTCATTAAATAGTTGAAGGAAAAGTTGTATCAGCTTTTAAGTAGTGCTGCGATAAAACCTGAGTGATGACCACGGGGAGCGGACGATAACACAACCAGTAATTATGGCAATAAAACACAACAATGACAATTACTGCAACTGCTCATAAACAAATAAAGACGGAGCGTGGGCCTGACACATTTACAGACTGCACTTCATTTACACAATGATTTTTTTTTTTAAACGCTATTGATATTTGTAGTGGAGTCAGACAGTTGTTTACAGAGTGGCTTCATAAATCACTGTTACAATGAAGGAAAGTTCAGTTATTTATTCAACCAGAGAAACAAGAAAGAAAATAATTAAATAAAAGAAAAACAAAAAACACAAGCAGTTCAGAAAATATATGATAGTGATCTAACAGTACAACTAAAAACAGCAGATGTTGTACAAATAAAGATGATAAATATATTTATAATGGGTTAACTAAAGAATTCACAGAGACTCTACAGGCTACAGGTGGCGCTGTGGTCCATTCTAAATGTCCACCCACTGTACCTTTAATGTAGTTTTATATTTAACTTGAATGTGACTGTGTCTGGAGCAGACAACAGGTCGAGCTGACCTGTCACTGTCAGTCTATTTCCTGTGTGTGTGTGTGTGTGTGTGTTGTTGTCACCTGTCACAGCGTGGACCTCCGAAACCCTCCTTACAGTGGCATGACCCCGGTGGATGGGCTGTCAATCAAACACACACACATATCACATAATTCAGAGAAAAACTTCCGAACAACTGAAATATCTTCACTTCACAGAGACAAAAACTTCCAAACAACTGAAATATCTTCACTTCACAGAGACTTGACACAGCAGAAACAAAGCGATCACTCTGATTGGCCGAGGTTATAGCCTATGAGGCACAGTGAAACTATTTGACTAATAGCCTGTTTTGCCAAGAGTGTTTGGCTAATAGCCTGTTTTGCCAGGAGGCTAATGCTATGTGCTTACAGGGAGTGGCCAGGCGGGAGTCTCCCACACAGGATTGGCTGATGGAGCCGTGATGGTCACATGAGCAGGGGACGCATGGATCCTCCTCCTCCGCCCTCACCTGGACAGGTGACGGAAATACATGTTGGTATTTGAACTCACTGCTGAATAAACTGTCCTTGGATATAAAGCACAGGACAGTTCACCTCAGCAGGTCTGTAGTATCCAGGGACGCAGGTCTGACAGTTGATTCCCGCGGTGTTGTCCCGGCAACCAATGCAAACACCGCCCCCTCTGCGTTGGCCGTGAGTGTCCAGACTGAGGGACAGGTCGGCCACTGTTTGGTTAAAGTAACACTCCTCTGCTTTATGGTGACAGTTACACTCTGAGAAGAAGAGAAAAGACACAAATATCAGAATATTCAAACAAATATCATTTAAAAAAATGAAATGAAGTCGTCTTGATTTTTCCCCAGGCTTCTTTGTGATTTTCCTTTCACAGGTGCCGTCAAGCATCCAAAATCCAAAGTGACCCTGCGCCAGTGTCTGCTGCTCCTTCCTCAAAGGTCACCTCTATCTTTAAACCCGTTCTCACATCCACACCCACGGCCCTTCGAGGTCCGTTCACAGTCAGTTCCCCTCAGTGGGTCAAACCTGTCACTGCAGGTTCCTGTTATTGTTCCGGCCGACGTCTTGTCGTTCTCAGGGCGGCAGAGATTACGGAGCAGTGTTAGGAAGGTGCAGCTCATGTGAAATAAAATGAAGATTATACGTTGTGGTCCGAGTTTGATGAGGACAGGTCTGGACTGAGGGAGGACGGGAGGGTGAGGGGGGGGCAACGGGAGGGTCCATCATGGCTGCTCCGCTGCTACACAGACCAGGAAGGTTAATGGCTGTAAAGGTGACTTCTGTCTATCTTCTGGTTGTATTCCGTGTTGCAGCCATACTGCAGCTACATTAGCATCTAACATGTGGTGCGTGGGTTCATACAGTGAACCTCATTATCATAACGGTGGGCGTCCGACAGCGGAAGGTTTCCAAACCCGAGAAGTTTGATGAACGGTATAGTCGAACCTGAGGTGGACTGACAGGTGAAAAAGAAAAAACAAACATGTTTTTTTTTAGTGTTTCCTTACTTTCACAGATGTGACGAGTGAGGAAGGTTCCCGCCATCCAGGGCTGCTGGTGGTAACCAGGACAACAACGATCACAGCTCTCCCCGCATGTGTTGTGCTCGCACTCGCAGCTGAATTTCTACATTCACACCAGAGACGACAAATACAGTTGCAGATTAGCAGAAATCTATGGTTTTTTTAATTGTATAACGGATATTGTTCAGCCAGCAGTGCACCCTCTCATGTAGCCATTTGGAATTGGCTCCATCCCCCCCCCCAAACACCAACCTACGTAGTACAAACAGAACTGAACAAATTAAAATTCAATTTTTCCCTTTTGTTTTGTCAAATACAAATGAGTGAAAAAACTTTAGCCTCACTTGCATCTGGTACTTTTCGGTGTTTGTGTTTGTGTAGAAGTTTTCCTTCTTTTTTTTCTCCTTCTTTTTTTTGTTAATTTACAGGCACATTTTGACAGACAAGCCGTCACGAATCAAACGAGCGTGTTGTGCCCTTCAGATCCAGACGGCAAAGTCAAGATGATCCTGGAAGAAGATTCTCTAATGGTCACGGACACAGCTTTTGTCTGTCTCACCGTGTGTGTGTGTGTGTGTGTGTTACGGAAGTGCCATTCCTCACCATCTCCTGGCAGTGTGGTTGCCGACACACCTGCCAATCATCACCTCCTCTTTCACCCACTCTTCACCAGACGGCTGCTTCAGCCACTTTGTTCCAGCACATTCTGAGCTGACAGAAATTCTTCATCCAGACTCATCTTTGTGTGAGTTTCTCTGAGTAACCTTTGTTAGTGAACCTCAGCTCAACCAGCTCCGCTCCACTGTTCCCTCAGCTCCACTCAAACCTCACTCCCTGTCTCACCCTCTCCCTCACCCCCCCAGGAGGGGGGGGGGGACGACACTGATGCTGCAGTACGTCCTGGCTGATCACACACACACACACACACACACACACACACAGGAAGGCTGAGACAAAGATGATGTTTGAGCTAAAGAGCATTCCTCCCACAGCAGCAGCAACAGGGAGATAACAACTTGGAAATGTTTGAACATTTCTACATACGGGCCAGTTTGCAGGTAGAGTTACTAGAAATACCATTTTTAAATTCAAGCACTTTTTAAGGATTTTTAATTTTTAATTTTTAATTAATCGTGATTAATCCCAATTAATTAACATTCCTAAATATGACAAAAAGAACATTTCTATATACGGGACAGTTTGCAGGTAGAGTTACTAGAAATACCATTTTTAAATTCAAGCACTTTTTAAGGATTTTTAATTTTTAATTTTTAATTAATCGTGATTAATCCCAATTACATTAATGTGTAAAATTGTGTGTGTACGTTCTTTTCCCTTATATGTGGCAGGAGAAATATGAATAACACCGATGATGTCACTTCCTACCAATGACATCAGTACCAGGGGACCAGGCACCAGTGTCACATCAGAGAAGACTTCATTTTCAGCCTCGGGGCCACACTCACTCACACACACATTAATGTGTACACATACACACACATACACACATGCATTCTGTGTGTGTGTGTGTGTGTGTGTGTGTAGGAGACAGAGAGAGATCAGGTGTCAGGTATCAAACAGTCCTCTTTTATAAGTGACAGGGATAAGACAAGGCTTCACTGTGTCACCTGTGTCCCCTGGAGACACACACACACACACACACACACACACACACAAAAGATAAAACTTTTTGATGAAGAGACTGTAGATAAAAGCCGGGGCCCGAGGCCCCTCTTTGCTCCTGTTCAACACTGTACAGAGCTCCATTACCTCAGTGTTATTGTTAACTGGACTGAAGGAGAGAGAGGGAAAAAATACATTTTCTTTTTTTACCTTTGTCTCTGCGTCGAGGGGACAGGCTTTGGCGTGGCCGTAACAGATACACATCCCTCCGACGGAGATGTCCTTGAGAGAATAATAATACTGAAGACACAGAGAGAGAGAGAGAGAACTGAGAGTCAGATGTGACGACGAAGTTTATATATTTATATAAATGTGCGTACATATATAATATTATTAGTGGTGCTTATTTGACAACAAGGATAACAGTATTTATTTACTGTTTATATTTTTTTATTGTACTAGTACAAACACAGACGTATTGCAGTTCTTTTGTCCGATGCTCACCCGTCTCGTTACGATCCGATCGACCTCTCTGGGGTCGCGCAGTGTCAGCGTCATGAGATCGGCGTTGAGCGTTCGGATTCGCTGAAGCACCAGCCTGATGTAGCGAGCGGAGGTGAAGTTGAGCAGGGTCGGCGAGGGGTCATCAGCACTGGGTCGTCCATTGACCAGAGACGCATGGATCTGTGGACAGGGACGGACAAACACTGATGAGTGTTATAGACATTGACGGTAAAGATCGTGTGTCCGTGTGCTGACAGACGGCAGGATGTAAATCAGAAGAACAGGAGGAGGAGGAGGAGGAGGAGGAGGAAGGAGCCTCTTGGCTGTAACCTTCTGTTACAGTAAGCACTTCCTGTACTATGTCTCTCTGTAAATAAAAAAGACTCTCGTAAACAGCTCTAAGAGGAGGCTGTGTAGAGAACAATCATTTCTATCGCACACAAAAAAAAAAACAACTGGAAAAATAATCGGCAGATAAAAAGTGCAGTTTTATAACAAGCTGCAAACTAGTGTCCTAGAACACCACTGATGCTTGTACAATATATCTATATATGAAAATATAAAATAAATAATATATATATATATATATATATATATATGAAACACCAAGGACAAAGAATTATCTGATTCTTATCTAACTCTTAACAAAACCAGGATCCGAAACTCCATCCATCCATTTTCATTCTCTTATCCGTTACCGGGTCGCGGTCGCAGTCGCCACCCAAATCACACTGCACCGTACCAACCCCCCCCCAAACCTTCCTGCAGGTGGTGAGTCCACTGGAAGGTACCAACCGCCCTAACCGGGATTCGAACTTGCCCAGGAGGTGAACCCTGGGGTAAATGACAGAGACACTGCCTCTGGGCCAAAGCACCACAGGATCTGAAACTGTTTAAAATAAATTACTGTACAAATTGGTCCAGGTCCTATATGTAGCTGAATGAAATGCAGCACCAAATCATTACAGAGTCTTCCCATGATTGGGATTTTTTTTTTTTTAAATCAGAGTTTGTCTTAAAATCATTTACCTTAAGGTTCAAGGCCTCACCTTATGACCTTATGCAGTCACATGACCACACCAGTGTCTCATATCTGTGTGTTTCCCCCTAAGCAGAGCGTCATTTAGACAAATCTGTCAAATCCTCCCTCATGTCTGGGCCTGAAGTTTTGTGATTCGGGGCAGATGGAAAATGACAAATCTCATAAATGAAACATGGAAACATGTCTGGCTGCAGTTTCCAAACCTCGCCGTTTCATCACGATCTGACGTTGGACCAAAACCCAAACACAAGTTTCTTCATAGGCCAGAAATAAACTTCTTGAAATTTAATTATCAGCCTGTCGTCTCTCATCCCTCCACTCAAATTGATTTTTAATGTTTTCACTTCCCTGACCAGGCTGTGAATCACTGATCACTGATTGTATCAGTGTATCACCAGGGTTCACCCAGCACACACACACACACACACACACACACATGTAACGAGGAGTGTGAAGATCTGTCTGTCTGACTGTCCATCTGTCTGTCGCACTAATTTGGCCAAATGCAACATTTGTGTGTGTGAGAAAGAGAGAGAGAGAGAGAGAGAGAGAGAGCAGTTAAAGAGTGTGAGCTGCAGATTTAAAGATGATGAAGGAGATGTTTGTTCACCTATTTTTGTGCATGCATGCGAGTGTGTGCGTTAATGTGTGTGTGTGTGTGTGTGTGGAAGCACACACACATCGCCTACGACTCATTACTGTTTCACTGTGATCAGACAGCGAGCGAGCTGTCACACACACACACACACACACACACACACACACTGGGTTGTTACTTTCAGCCCTTGACATCTCCTCGCTCACACCCCCTCCACGGCTCCCCCGCAGGACACACACATACACACAGTACAAACACATTCATCACACAGACACAGTAGCAGCTCCTGCATCAGTACCTGGATCTGTTCACACACACACACACACACACACACACACACACACACACCGTGACAGAAGTCAACAATTAACGACCGTGTGTGGAGGAAGTTGATGTGCAATTACTGAGGATGTAGTAACTGTGTGTGTGTGTGTGTGTGTGTGTGTGTTCCTGTAACTATTATACACAGAAAAAAGTTATTTTTGAATTTCTGATTTTTCTCAATTCATCCTGATTAACTGATTAGAAGAAGAAGAAGAAGAACCACCTCCATCAACAGGTACTTGATAGATAAAGACACGACAGCTGGGATTGGAACCTGACTCTACTGATTACAGGGCTGCTCCTCCCACCGCTGAGCCACAGAGTCTGCACCGTTACCTCTCCGTTCTCCAGCGGGTGAATCTTGGAATAAAAGGAGGTGCAGATGACTTCGTCGTCTCTGGTGTAGGACGGGTGTCCTCTGCGCGGATTGACGTTGAACCGCGTCAGACACTCGGTGTCGGTGATGGCGTAGTATTGCCAGGGTTCAAAGGTCACGCCGTCTATCGATCGCTCCAAGATCCAGTTACCTGCAGGAATGGGAAATAAGGATGAAGAAGTGTGTTTTGATGTAGGAGCTGCGGAGGAGAGCAGATCAATGAAGACAATAATGAACATCCAGACGTGTGTTGTTCTCAGGCTGCTTAAAAAACATGGAACATCGACAGCTGAGTCCATCACACATATTTTAGAGTAAATTATACCAGCATTTCCTGGACTGACTGCACTTTTGAAGTACAGTGATCCCTTGCTATAACGCGGTTTACTTTTCACGGTTTCGCTACTTCACGGATTTGCATCGTGCATTGTGTTCTGCATTCTGATTGGCTAAAAAGGCACTCCGCTTCTTCTCTACCTGTGCGCCAATAACGTTGCGGTTTAATATGTACACGTACGTAAAACAGCTTGCCAAATTGACATTACGTACGTGCAAATTCTCTTGCAATTTCGAGTTTATCAAAGCCCATAATGTCGACAAAACGCTCTGGACCGGCAAAAGTACCTGCGGTAGGGACCAAAAGGCAGCGGAAGATGCTGTCTATCGGTGATAAAGTCAAACTATTGGACATGCTAAATGAAGGTAAAAGCTATGCGGCTGTAGGTCGGCGTTATGGAATTAATGAATCTTCCGTTCGTTTGTGAAACAAATGGTTGAGACTGTAAAATGGTTTGTTCGTTCTTTCTCTTCTTTTTCTGAGTATTTAATTGTAAAAAAAATAAAGATTTCTACTTCACGGATTTTGCCTATCACGGGTTCTTTTTGGAACGTAACCCCCGCGAAAAACAAGGGTTTACTGTATATGTAATACAGTGTACTGCAAAACTGTAATCCTGTTTGTTTCCTGTTTGTTGGTAATTTGAAAGTGAAGCACAGGAAACTGGTGTCATTGAAGGGGACTCTGGTCTTTGAGGGTTCATTCTTGGAGGGTTCTGTCAGTGGGACGTCAACAGTTATTATAACCAGTGTGCTGTGATGAAGGCTGAAATAAGAGCTGGAAGTTCTGGATTCACAGGAGAACAGGAGGCGAGGTGAAGTCGTACCAGGACGAGGTGAGTTGGCTGCCTTCACGATCACATAGGCGATCTGGAAGACCTGCCAAAACAGACAGAGACGGAGACAGGACGGCGTTAACCTCAAACTCAGAAAATCAACAGGACTTTGTTTATTCATTAATGAAATAATATATGAATAAAATGTACTTTTTTTTCCCCCTTTTTTGTGCCAACCGTTTTTACTTCACTCTAAACAGAAATGGAACCAACTCTGTCCATTTCCTGTATATCAATACTGTGTACTACTGTAATACTGTGTTACATACACAGAGTAGAGCCAGTAACTCACACTTTTAAAAATGATAATAATGAGATGAAAACACATTTTCATCAGCCTTTTTAAAATAAATAAATAAATTAGAGGTTTTCAGGTGACCCATGTTGGGGTCACAATCCGTAGGTTGAAAAACATCTGTGCGTAGTGCGTGTGAATGTGGAGAATGACTCGAGTCTCAAAACACGTGTGAGAGTTTGATGAACCCACGATCCACACGTTTTTAAAAACAGATACCGACGTTCACGTTCCTCCCAGACGAGAACGGCGTGAAAAAATAAAATAAAATCTGTAACAAACACAAACACACAAACAAAAGGCTTCATTTCAAAGGATGATTGTGCAGATTAACACCAGACAGACAGACTGTGTGACTGGACGTGGGTCTGTCAACCGTCTGTGGTTCTTCACCACAAACATCTTTCAGCCAATCCCTTCTCCCTCTTTGTGTCTCTGTCTTTTCTTCTCACGATGTGGGAAGCAGTGTCACCTTGCAGCAATTAGGATGGAGAGAGAGAGAGAGAGAGGGAGAGAGAGAGATGCCGTGTTTGTGTGTGTGGGAGAGCGAGAGAGAGAGAGAGAGAGGGTGTAGTGTAACCCTATAGCAGTCATTCAAACATCATCTACAAAGACTCAGTGTTACCTGTATTCACACCATGAAGGGGATGTGTGGGAGTGTGTGTGTGTGTAGGTGTGTGTGGGTGTCTGTGTTTTTGCCTCAGTAAATCTGTGTGTGTGTGTGTGTGTGTGTTCTCAGTGGTAGCTTGTAACATGTTGACAGGACTGGGACAGCTAAGACGCTGCAGCACCTAAACATAGATGAACACAGCCAAGTAATGAAGTGTGTGTGTGTGAGTGTGTGTGATGGTTTTTAAAGTGTCTTATTTCAGGTTTTGATCAGCCGTGACTCTGATGATGAGAGCCATAAATCAACAAATAAACATCAAAACAACCGGAAACACAGGTAAAGGCCTGGACTGTGATTTATCAACCAAACTTGGTAGAAAAGTGTCTCCATGAGACACAAATTAAGCAAAACTAGCTAAAGGTCGGTGATTAAATCTGCAGTTAAAGACATCCGACCAAAAGCAAAGAAAAATGGTTAAACACCAAAGTTATCTCCAAGATTTACATTAGCTTCCATACGCAAAAATTAGACCAAACTTAGCTAAAAAAAAAAGATGAAGCTGGTGTTTTGAAAAAAAAAACTTAGGAAAAAAAAGTTAGATGATTCTGAGGGTAGATGAAGTTGGTGTTTTGAAAAAAAAAAAACAACTTAAAAGTAAAAAAAAAGTTAGATGATTCTGAGGGTAACAACAATAGCTGAATCAACAGCTAACAGCTAGCCAAAGCATGGTTAAAAGTTAGCCAATTAAACAGCACAAAGTTAGCTACAAGGACAGATACTACGTAGCTAACGACAGCAAACTAAAAGTTAGCTGTGATAACGTATCATATCGCAGACAGATTTGGATAAAATTGTCCTGGTAAGTTAGCTGTAGTAACGTATCATATCACAGACAGATTTGGATAAAATTGTCCTGGAAAATATGTAAATGTATTAATTTGCAGCATGAACAGATACTGCACAGACACATGTGAGACGTCATGTTAATGTACAGGATGTGACAGAGCTGTAAATGTGTTTTGGTTACAGCGCCCAGACGCAGACTTCAAATGTTTACTTTAATGCACAGTAAGTTAATTGGAGCCCAGTGTCCAGTATGGTCGGGGTCTCCTATGATTAAATGGAGCGTGAAAAATCCTTTTTTTTTTTTTTCCTCTGTGTGCTCGGAGAACACATTTTCAGGGGTTTTACTGAGCAGCTGGTGTTTATAGGCCATTCACATGGAAACGTGTGGAAATCTCTGGCCTGAAAAACCGCCGTCCAACTCCAAATCCGCTCACTTCTGCGGCCAATTACGGCTGGATTTCCACACAGAAACGTCCAACTGATCGAGCGGTGACAAAAACCATTCAGAGAATTCAAAATGTCATCGCTTTGGAAAAAAAAAAACAAACCCCAAATCTTTTCTTGTTTTGGCACAGATGTGCTGACACGCAGGTGCGAATGCCGTCAGAGGCGCAGGAACGCGTTAAATTTTACTGTCACTTCAAATATAAATGTGTTAACATCTCCCTGGACTAATAAAAAAGGCTTTTTGGCCTGGTCCTAAATATGTGTGACTCATCCAGCAGGCTCTGAGTGCCAAACGTATGGGGCAGCGAAACAAGCAGAAGAAAATTTAGTGGCGCTGCACACAGTCATCTCATCACAAAATCATTCAGCTTCTCCCCTCAGCTGCCACCACAAACCATTTGGTGAGAGATTTGGAGGAAAAAAAAAAAAAAAGAGTCGTTTGACTGGCTCTGCAGCAACAGGCATTAGAATACAGTTCAATGTTTGACTGCATTTCAGAGAAGTTTATGAAAATAGCTTCCAATATGCAACGATTTTTTTTCCCTTGAAAAATATTTTTCTTTTTATTCCCACGCTACAAACGCACTCTACACCATTCAAGGTATTTATTTTTTTTTACAGACTTTACCGTCATTTAGCCTCAAGCGTCTACAAATAATTGGCACAAAGACACTAGATATGAATCACACCTGTGTAGGAGGGTAGCAGGGGGGGGGCAGTCAAAGGTCTGTTTGTAATAGTTGGTTAAGACCAGTCGTCATACTCGAAACAAAATGTGCTTCTCATTTCAAACAACAGGAATTTTCATAGAAAATAAATAGAATAAAATGTCATTTATATTTTGCCACAAACGATATTAAACATCAAACCAAACACAACAAAACCTCGGCACATCAGTCTACACAAATATATCAGAAAAATGTTGAAGAAACCTCGAGACGAAAAGAAGAACCAAAGTGAATCAAGGATCTCAGGAATTTCCAAAATTAACATATTATTATTATACCACACAAAAAGACGCTGTTTTTACTGACGGTGAAATGTAATTGAGGAGATGCCAAAAAAAAAAAAGATTCTATCGTGTCTTCAGTTCGACTCACAGCTAAAGGATAGCTTTGATAGTCAACTTAGCAGAAGCTAAAAGGCAACATTAGATACAAACTGACACCAACTGACTTCAATACAGTGACATGTCTATGAAATAACTGAAGTTAGCAGCGGAGGTTGAGCAGCTGACGGACAACAAGGTTATTAAAGAAGCGTCGTCTGTGATAATCCACTGACTCAGACTGGGATTTTCCTCCTGACTCCAGTGTGTGAGTCATTCAAGAGTAAAATATCAAGACTGGAGGAAGCAGAGGGGAAGGGTCAAATTCCCCCGTCGGAGCCCCATGTGATAGAAATCTCTGAAATCCCATAATAGAAGACAGATGTCAGAACAGGACCTGCTGGCTCGGTTCAAGGAGACTTCCCTGTTTTCACAGGATCCTCTCTTCTGACATGTGTTTTTACATTCAAAGTCACTGAACTCCTTCTCCTCAAACTGATTTTTTTTATATTATTATTATGACATTTATTCAGTGTCCACTTCCCTCATTCTTTTTGCGGTTCACATTTGTGTTATTTTAATAACTAACCATCCAGCGTCTCCAACAGATTTGACCATTTATTTTACGTATGTTTTATGTTATTTCTTTTTTCTTTTTTTCCATGTAAAAAAAATAGTTAAATTAAAATTTCAGAGCTTTTTTACTTTTTTACTGTGTCACGTTTCCACTTGTGGTCATCTGTGTGTGTGCGTGTCTCTGACTCTAAAGTTTTTGATTGACAGCCTCTCTTAAGGAGGCAGAGGCGGTCCTGCCAGGTTCTGCGCCTCCACACAGCAGCGTTTTTGAACACGTCAAGTCAACTGTCCGTCAATCACGGTGGCCAGGACGTTACCTTAACGACTGTGATTCAACAGACTCACGTCTCCAACCGGTGACAGATGGCTGCTGCGGTGGACGTGGTGAGACGTTGAATGAACGACTGTGGTTAGAATCTACCAGGAATTCTTCTTCTACTGCGACCCCGTTTTTTTTAATTTCCCCCCCCGGCCCCCCCACTCACTGTTCCACCAAACATCACGTCCTCCATCACTACATCTGAGGTCGTCCTTCTCTACTCTTGACCGGTCGCTCTGTCTTCAACTGGACTCTAAGGAATGTATCCTCCAGCTTCTATATGAAACACAGTAGGCCGTCAATACATCATAGACCAACTCCACAAGGTCATTCAAAGGTCACCGCGATAGTCTGAGGCCTGTGCCACTGGAATTTAACTTTTTTTTTTTTCTAAAATCACACTCACAAATATCACACCCATCACACCACACTCACTGTCATTTTCTGAGTGAGATGACTGTGGTCACCGGGGAAATTCAGCTCAGTGAAGGATAAACAGCTGCCACTGATTGAGACTCACACACACACACACACACACACCTTACTGTCCATCACTCTCCATCAGGACGGAGGTCCACGCTTAACCCCGCCCACAAACCTGCAAAGGATAAGGCTGTAAATAATGGACGAATAAATGTCGCAGCGCAGTGAAATCTAGTTTATGTTTAAATATTTGGAATCATGTTGAAATATAGTTTATGTCTAAATATTTGGACTCATGAGCGATTTCTAAGAATAAAAAAAAAATCACATTTAAAAAAAAAATGCATAAGAGAAAATAACATTATTTTTTTATTACTGGACAAATCGTTACCACGAGCGAAAAAAATGCAATGCCATAATGTTAAACCAGGCATGTGTTCCCAGTTACTGTGTCCACGTTGAATGGTTTCATATCCCACAGTTTGCGGCAACATTAAACACTAATGGAAGAGGTTGTGGGTTCTACATGTAGTTGAGCAGAGGTGGAGGAGACGGATGGGCTCTCACGCATTATTACACTGTGTTAGAAGACTTGTTTTTTTGAAACCAGGATCAGGGTTTTTACTCAAAAGAAAACATCCAACAAGTGTTGATGCTGCTGCAGGTTTCCTTTCATGACTCCTCCAATTAGTCAGAGCGAGTCATTTATGCTTTTTCAGGTGCAATGTTGACAGAAAAATCTCAATTGAAAAAAAGCTGGTTTTCAAACATGTTCTTTTTCAACAGTTTTCTCAGACAAAATAAATAACATCAACAACAAAAAAAATCACTGATTTTCATGTTCCTTTCCAACATTTTTCTTTTCAGTATGATTGTCCAGATTCAAAAGTTCAAATAATAAAAATGACTGTATGAAACGACTCAGTTCGGTGGGTGGTCATTATAGAGAGTTCACTGGCATTAAAACAAAAAGCTTTTAAAGAAATCACGGAAAAAAGGAATAGCGTTTTTTTTTTCTTCCTCTCAGGCTAGGTCACATTTTCTATTCAGATGTCAAAAGACAAAGAGGTCACGTTTTCTATTCAGATGTCAAAAGACAAAGGTAATCAGAGAAATTCAAAGCAGGATAATAATGAAATCTAATGGACACCACTGTTAAATACAATCATAAAATATAATTATAATATAACGCCACTAACTGTTCATTAAACGGACTCATTCAGTCGCTGTGCACAGCAGTACCTTAAATATCACACTGTTATCAGGAGTGTGTAGTAAATGTCATATTTTTCTCAACTCATTTCCTTTTTTTGTTTTTCATGCATTTGAATTTTTTTTTTCAGCTCCTTAAACTCCGTGCTCTGTCCCAGACTCCATTTCCTCGACTTTAGATTTGAGCTTCATTTTCATGAACTTTTCTGCAGCACGACAGCCAATCAGAGGACAGAGGTCAGACGGACAGTTAGCTGGAGAGAAATGTAAATTTTCTAAAGTTGTATTTTAATTTATAAATATATTTTTAGATTATTTAGTTGATGATACTTTACAGCCAGATAAAACAGTAACACTTACACCCTGCTTCTCGATGCTGAAAAAAAAAAGAAATATATATAAAGGTGTCAAATGATTTTTTTTTAATCATGATTGATCACAAGGAAGCTGTGGATTAATCTTCACTTCATTTACAGCGCCCCCTGCCCAATCTGTATTTACCAAGACCGAGTTAAAATTTTAGAAACTTTTACTTGACATATTTAACATACATAACATATTGAAGCATTTTGTATATTGTATATTTCCATAGTTTTTCTTATAGACTGTCTGTGACAGGCAGTATCTATATTCCCGTATACATCACTTTTTTAACCGTCCAAGTCATTTTTGACAGAGCGTACTTAATTAACGGAGAGTTTCTCGTCTCCCAGGCTCATTAGTTATATTTCCATGACACCTATATAATTATAATCAGCCGGTCTAATCTGTTTAATCACACTTATGAGCTTAACTCAGTGTCCTAAATCATCCCGGGCCAGAACACTGCTCCTCAATCACCCAGACTGAGATGCTTTTCAAATCAAAATTGGAAGGATGAATTATTTAAAGAGTGATGCTTAGAACATGATTGATAACAGAGTCACTGAGTGAGTACCAACGCTGCTGGAACACAGGCTGGCAGTGTTGAAAGAGGAAACTACGACGCAGACTTTGATCAGTCCATCCTTTTTAGGTCTTTTGTTCATGAAAATATCTTTAAATATGATAACCACCCTTGATTAAAAATGCATTAATACATTTCAAATTGTATGATAGACTGAAGTAAAAAGGATAATTGAGTGTGAACTTCATTATAATAATTATTGTTTCGTTTGCTTGCTAACAGCACAACAACGTAGCGTCGATGTCTGTTGTTTACCAGTGGATCCAGAGAGGACCAAAGGTCACACACACTCCCATCCAGGTGTGTGTGTCTTTGTGTTACCTGTTTCAAGTCCAGTGTGATGGTCACGTAGTGATACTCCATGCCGTTCTTGATGGAGGGACTCTGCCACCAACGGTTCGTCCCGTCGATGGCGTATTCGATGGGATGGCGTTCTGTGGAGAAAGTCTCCAGGTGAGTGGACAGTGGAAGTTTCAACATTTTTTTAATCTGATTAACGTCACAAATTGATGAACAGGATAAACACGTTCAACCTTGACAGTCAAAGATTATTTATTCAAAACCTTAATTGTGCTTAAATACATATATATATATATATAAAAATTCAGGCTGAGGCGGTAAAAGCACACGTTTCTCCCCTCATAAATTAGAAGTTGTACTTTTTTCAACTTCTAACTCAGAAGCTTTTATTTCCCTTTTTCTTCCATAAAGTCGTTTTAATTCCCTGGGAGATAATGCAGCATTTTTACATATTTTACCGTATGGCACAAAGGTCTGTGTGTGTGTCTGAGTGTGTGTTTACACATTAGTCAGAACTGTTTCAGGTTGACTGGGAGCTGTCAATCACACACCCACTCATATATGACATTTACTGATTATACACTGTTTTATATAGTGTATATTTCTATAGTCATTCTCATCTGAGAAAACTATTTTTATTCAAAGAACTGGAGTAGGAGTTTGGTCAGAGATGGAACCAGAACGGTGGCCCTCTCATCCCTTTTGGTCACTTCTGACCCCTGACATGGGCCGTTTTAGAGGATGTAGAATCTGAACACACACACACACACTCAACGACAGTGAGTGACTTCCTTCTTAATCCCACAGATTGAGCAGTTCATTTAATAATTGACTGGATAACTGCCTGTCTCTCGGGCCGTTTGAATAATGATCCCCAGCTAATTTTCTGCATTGTCATAATGGAATCGATTTCTCACTTGTTATTGTTGTCGCCACAGAGCAAAATCATTGGTTAACATCTGGCCAATCTGGCTGTAATTAACTAATCCAGCGTGATTAATTACTGCTGCCATCACGCCCATACGTCACAGCTGTGGGTATCTGTGTGTGTGTGTGTGTGTGTGTGTGTGTGTGCCTCCTTCTTACCTGAGGGTTTGTCTTGGTCGCAGGTCTGACACTGAGCGTTCCTCACAGGCTGACCTGGTACGTGTTCCACCAGTTTACAGAACGTCTCTGGACCCATGGAGCCACAGGTGGCGTTGGCCGTAATGTCTGCCATGGACGCTAAGTTCAAGACGGCAGGAAACAGACCTGAGGGAGGAAAAGCTGGGGGTCAGACCACACTGGATAATGACACATAAACACAGCTGTGTGTGTGTGTGTGAGTGTGTGTGTGCATTAGGGCCGGAGCCCAGACATGAAGATGCAGCAGCTGTTAGGGCCGGAGCCCAGATATGAAGATGCAGCAGCTGTCAACGTAAACAAAAAGAAACACCACGGAGCAGCCAGACACAAACACGTCCACTCACAGAAATGTTAGTGTTTTTTTTTTCCTCAAGAAGCAGTGAAACATAAATGTATCCTGGTCCTGAACTGGACGTCTGATTCTCCTTCCCGTTTCATCAGACCAACCTGGACTGCAGGTTCAGTCACACACAACCCATGTCTACCAAGTCCATCCATCCATCCACCCATCCATTTTCATCCGCTTATCCGTTACCGGGTCGCCAGGGCAGCAGTCTCCACCCACATCACACTGCACCCTAACCGGGATTCGAACTTGCCCAGAAGGTGAACCCTGGGGTTCCACACCAACGACAGAGACATTGCCTCTGGGCCAAAGCGCCACCTCTACCAAGTCAGAAGTGGTAACTTTAACATAGTTAGTTACCAACAGTAACCAGAAGTAGCTTTTTTAAAAACATCAAAATAATAGTTTGTATTCATTATGTACCACCAGGAATACTGAAGAAAAATGACATGACAACACAAGGTGGCGCCACCATCAGTGTACCGTGTGCTACGCTGCCGTTCCTCTCAAAGCACAACAAATGATGAAGTAGTCAGAGGTGAAACAGTGCAGCTGACGAGGAACGTCGTTGTTCTGAATAATTATCCCGGAGCAGGAAGTGGAAATTGGCCGGGTTGTTGAATACTGTGTTATTTAACACAGTTTAATACATCGTAACACGGCGAGTATTTTATCTTGAAATTAAAAAAACAAAAACAACCCAGAGGACGTTTCAGGTCAGTTTACACACACGGACCAAGGACTTGTTCATTTACATTTTGTGGAGTCAGTGTTTCCTTTTCTTGTTTCCTGTCCCGGAACGTTTTTTGTTTTTTTTTTGTTTAGTTTTCTGCAACAGCAACAGAATGTAATCTCATATCATCAAAATACACAGGGTACACACTGTTACTCTACACTACTGCGTACGGCTCAGAAGTAATGACCTGTTTTTTTCCCCCGGTGCAGAGGAAAACAAACTACAGACATTAATAAAGAAAACCACATCCCAGATCCAACCACACACCCACCCTGAACTCCCCCATCAACATCTCCACCACTGCTGACCCCTAACCTAGCAAAAATGGGACAAAAGCTCCTGTTCAACATAACTTAACCTCAGCTTCACATAGAAATGTTTATATATTTTTTTTTTTTTTAAATCACAGCCTCCTAAAACCTGTGAAATTCTTTATAAACCCATTACCACCATAACACAACAGCAGGACGGGGTCGACGCCTGTTCTCTCTCACAACAACATAATGTGATTTGTAAAGACCGGAACGTGTGGCCAGGCCTCGCTCGCGGTCTGTGCCGTAACTGATGGCCTTGATTTTTTGGTTTCTTTTCTCAATGAATCATTTTGAGTGTGAAATAATGACGTAAAAATAAGATTGTGTTTCTTTACAGGACGAGAAAACAAAGACAAAAAGGTCGAGATTTAAAAAGCGATATGATGAAAATTAAAGTTAAACCATTAAAGACGCACCAACAGGGGGCGGGCACGAGCGTTAAAATGACTGACTGCTTCTGGCCAGAGTGAACCTCAGGAGTGTAAAGAACAAACAGATCATTATTTTCATCTTCATTTCATCAGCTCCTACAGTACAGGCACCAGGAGACTCCACACATATTATTAGAAATTTTTTTTTTTTTTTTTTACAGCTTACAGGCACATCTCTGCTGCCGTTCCCACAGTAGAAAGTATCTTCACCCCAGAGTGAATTACCAGCTTGCAGAACTTCAGGTTTCTTTGATTCTCGACATGAACATCAGTGTTTACACGTCCTCCCCCCCCGCCCCCCCGACCCTCCAGAGTGGGAAACGGACACGCAGACGAGAGCGTGATCGTATGTTACATCAGACGCCTCAGTTCAGCTCCAGGGTCAACGTGGATACGCAACAACACGTACAAATATACAAACAGTGTATGCAGAAAATGCAGGCACAAGGGATGATGGGGGGGGTGGGGGGGAGGAAAGGGGTGAGAAAAACTCTGGTTAGTGTGTGCGTCCAGTTCCAGTGTGTGTTTCTGGAGGAGTTGAGTCCAGATTAGTCCAGCTGTGGGTCCAGATGTCAACGCTGATGAACTGTGAAGAACGTCCCAGACACCAGAAGACACACACACACACACACACACTTCCCAATCCCTCTGTAATTGTATCTGAGAACATGCAGTGCCACAGAAGTCCGGATTTCCATTACTCAAAAGTTTTCATGAGAGACAACGCTGGCTCTCACGTGGTGAATGTTTTTCACTCGGTGCCAAACAAATGTTCTTTCTCAAAGAGTTGAAGTGAATAAACAAATCAGAACAAGGAGCTGAAGCAACTGAAGGACAATGATGGAAACGGTAACAAGAAAGAGGATAAATCACGTTTTAGAAAAACATTCAAGGCTGTGAGATTAACTAAGGGAGATGGTTTGTGGGGGGGGGGTGGGAGCAGAAATATAACTTCATCAACCAGAGGATGATGAAGATTGAGCGACTGAGCAGGAAGGAAAGAAGGAAAGAGGAAAAAAACCCAGAGGAGGTTTGTGAGGTGGATGGTAGTTTAAGAACTCCAGGAAAGATGAAGAAGAAGAGGAAGAAGAAGAGGAAGAAGAAGAGGAAGAAGAAGATGAAGAAGAAGATGAAGAAGAAGAGGAAGAAGATGAGGAAGATGAAGAACATGAAGCAGAAGATGAAGAAGAAGATGAAGCAGAAGAAGAAGAAGAGGAAGAAGAAGAGGAAGAACATGAAGAAGAAGATGAAGAAGAAGAAGAAGAAGAGGAAGAAGAAGAGGAAGAAGAAGATGAAGAAGAAGATGAAGAAGAAGCTTTTGTTTTTCACTGTACAAAAATCAATGTAACTGAATTTTTGTCCTAAGTCGGAACTCACACATTCAACTATGCAAACTGAGGCACCCCGTACACACACTGGTCCACCGCACCTGTCCCTGAGTCATCGCTGTTCACCGTCTCATGTCAACGCTCCATTAACCTGCAGCTCCAAGAATAGAACCTGCTGTGACATCATCCAATCATCATCACACCAAAAACGCACTCGTGCTCATTAGAAACCGTCAGAATATAAACATGGCATAATTCATCATCTCAACCACTGAGATCAAAGATGAACATTACCCAGAATCCTCTGTGCCATAATAATCCTTCACTTTATAAAGTCAAACGTTAATTTAACCCTAATGAACGTGAAGAAACTGCGGAAAATCAGAGGAGGAAACGTTGGATATAATTGTTGTGTTTTCTTCCTCGTCTCTCTTTTTTTTTTTTCTACACTGTGTACAATTAAACGAACACGACCTCAGTGTGACACGTTAATCCTCATTAACGTCAAATTCACCACATCAGGAGTCTGTTTACTCAGAAGAATAATTATAAAAAAAAAAACAAGAAGAAAGAACTGCAGATAAATCATCAACAGTCGATTAAATTAATATTTACAGACATTTAACTCATTTCATATTTAAAAAAAATAAAAATAAAACAAAAACAAACCGTCAGTGCCTTTTATTCAGCTCTGCATCAGTGGAAGTGGAGGACGTTACTGATCTGTGAGGGAATAACTGTGATGTTGAAGTTAAAGCCAGACTCAGGAGAACATCTGTGGAAATAACTGAGTTTTCTCTTTCATCAAATGATAGTTTTTACGTTCTCTGCTTTTTTCTGTCACCACTGCTAGATGACTGGGCACCGCCTGTCCCTCTCGCTCTGAGTGTGTGTGTGTGTGTGTGTGTGTGATGGATGTGTTATTGTTGAGTTTTGGGGCTAGATGTATGCTTGATGGAATAACAAGAAGGTTGAAAACGACAGCATCATCTCTCTCTGTATCTCTGTACGTCTGCCTTCATCCACAATAGTTGGAGGAGGGAGGGGGAGAATCAGCACATCTGAGGGGGACGGGGGGGAGGGTGAAGATAAAAAGATTGATGGAGGGATTCCCAGAGAAGATAGTGTTGTTTAAAAGGGTCAGGGCCAGAACTGTGGGCTGAGCGATGGGACTGGGATCAGCTCTTACACCGAGGCTGGACCGAGAATACGGCAGCAGAGAAGATTAACGCCGCGCACAGACGCCGAAGACGGATAAACACAGATGTATATACATGTATACAGTTTAGGAGAAAATACTAATATTTACTGCAGGTTAGATGACTGTACAGAGTCATATCCATAGGTTTGTTCACACTGTAGGTCAGAGTGGTTCAAGTCTGATCATTTAAGAACAGCACAAACTGTTCACACGGTCAAAACACGTCACATCTGGTCCATAAATTCAGGCTGCATTTCATCCAACTTGGTCAGGGGAAAGGTTAAGATCACAGATGACAACTGACAAACAAAAGTTACTGACGTGTGTAGCAGCCACGTTTAGTTCTGTGTTGTCACATTTTCTGTTTCTGTTTTAGGTGAACATCCACACAAGAAAATAAAAAACCACAACCGAGAAACGAGCCCGGTTCTTTCACAATAAAAGCACACTCTAATCTGGAGTCAGTCTGAGCTTCATTCATTATCTTCAACTCTACAACCAATCTGCTAACAACTCCAGGGGGCGCTTTTCCTAACAGTCGTCCAGCAGTGGAGTCCAAATGCCCCTAATCCATATTTTGTCATCGTTTCGTGACCTGTTTCTCTCATGAAAAGACAAAGTCACGCCACCTACTGTCGACTCTCACACGTGCAGCAGGTCCAGTCTGGTCCAGTCTGGTCCAGTCTGGTCCAGTCTAGTCTGTGGACTCCAGTCTGCTGCGCTGTGACGCCGTGTTGGTGCTACTTTTTTGGCCGACAACGTGGCGACGT